CGACGGAGAATAACAATAACAGGAGCCGACAACAGCAGCATAGGCATACCCAGCAGAATTCGAAGACTAGTTCGAAAAGGCCGAGCGGGGGCGCAATCCCCTGCGGCAAAAGAACAGATTTTGGGTACGACAAGGATTTCAATTCGAGGTACACCATTGGCAAATTGCTAGGGCACGGCCAATTTGGTTATACCTATGTTGCTGTCGACAAGTTCAATGGGGATCGCGTTGCTGTCAAGAGAATTGAGAAGAACAAGGTTCAGATCCTTTTTTTTTTTTTTTTTTTTTATTATTTCCTTTGATCCTTATTCATAATTGCACTAGGGGGAAAAGTGATTATCTGTTTCTTCTGATTATAGGGAAAAGTGATTTTTGGGGATCATATTTTATAATTATCCAAAATGATTAGATAATCTGCTTAAAAGTCAACTGGAATCAGAATCTGTTCTTCAATTATTTTTGGATGATTTCCGATTGTCGTGACAATACGGAGCAACTATTATCTATTTGCATATAATGTGGCTTCAGTTTTGATACTTTGTACCATTTTCTAATGATTCCAATGGCATTTGTACACTAATAAAGGTGTTTGGTTTGTATGACCAAATTATTTAGACTCGACTGCAAAATAGACTTCTTTATTAAATTTGCTCGAGATTTAATCACTTCTCTAAGAATGCTGCTCATGTAGATTATACCTGTCTACCGGAAAAGAAACATTTCTGTATGAAGATTGAAATTTTCGAATAAAATAATTGTTGGGAATTAAAAATGAATCTTCATGTACATGTCGGCTTGTAGTTGATTAGATCTTTATCGGAACTCGTGTCGGGCCAAGGTATTTACTAATGCAATATTGTTCGCACGTATTTGCCCACTTTGATTCTCTTAGAAAGAAACGTTGATCAATTAAAGATATGCATTTGGATATAGTTGAAGTCGTGTGTATTTTTTTTTCGAGAAGAATGAAAATATTTATTAATTTTCGTTATCGTGACGATATCCTTAAATTGTGGGGCAGATGGTTCTTCCGATTGCTGTTGAGGATGTGAAGAGGGAAGTCAGGATATTAAAAGCTTTAGCTGGTCACGAGAACGTCGTTCAGTTCTATAATGCTTTCGAAGACGATTCTTATGTATATATTGCCATGGAGTAAGTTACTGAAATTCTCGTTTCGCGCATTAAGTTATTATTAATTGTTATTGAAAATAATGTTAATCGTTTGCGGTTTTAGGTTATGCGAAGGTGGAGAACTACTTGACCGTATATTATCAAAGTGAGTACATCCAAATTTCTGGATTATAATGTTTCGTTATTATTATTTTTTTATTTGATTAGTTTGAAGCATTGATTCCGAGGCTAAAGAGTAATCTGAAATTATCTTTGAACAGAAAGGATAGCCGTTACACAGAGAAAGATGCAGCAATTGTTGTGAGGCAGATGCTGAAAGTTGCAGCCGAGTGCCATTTACATGGTTTAGTACACCGTGATATGAAACCCGAGGTATGTTGAAAAAATAACTTTACCCTTTTGGTGGACGCTTCTGCTTTAATTTTTTAAAACTTATTTTATTCCCACAGAACTTTTTATTCAAGTCGCCAAAAGACGATTCGTCACTGAAAGCTACAGATTTTGGTCTCTCAGATTTCATAAGACCAGGTAATCAATCAGCTTTTGACCTCTTGCCATTTAAAAAAAGAAAGAAAAAAAAAACGTCAATAACTTTTTTTGTTTGTGTCCATTAAAATTTCATGAAATTATTATCACGGTGCAGGTAAAAAATTCCAAGATATTGTTGGGAGTGCATATTATGTTGCTCCGGAGGTATTGAAGCGTAAATCAGGGCCAGAATCAGATGTGTGGAGCATTGGTGTAATTACTTACATTTTGCTATGTGGACGGCGCCCTTTTTGGGACAAAACCGAGGACGGCATATTTAAGGAGGTGCCCGAAAATCTTATATTATTATTATTATTTAATTAATTTTCTGATATTATTCTACGATCACACAATTTGCATTTTCTCCCACAGTGAAGTTTATTAGAAACAATCTTGGCTAATTGTGCGATTATTTTGGACTAACCAAACATCCAATATCAGGTCCAATTATTTAATTAACCATGGTTAATCTTACCAACCAAACGAGGCCTAATAGTATATAATAATGACTGCATGATAACCAATTTTTAATAAAGATTCAAGTAATTATAAAAGGTTTTTGGATGAAATATTGTAGTAACTTTAAGAATGATGTTTCACTATTTTATGTAAGATTGTAAAAGAATGTCTCTTATATAACCCTATGATGCCTAATGTAGTAGCTTCTGTTGGCTTCATTTATTTTAAATAAATAAATATTTAATTAGGTTGTGATTAGATATTTTTTTTATGTTTGCAGGTTCTTAGAAACAAACCCGACTTTAGGCGGAAACCATGGCCAGGGATAAGCAATGCTGCTAAAGATTTTGTGAAGAAGATACTTGTCAAAGATCCTCGTGCTAGACTCACTGCAGCCCAGGCCTTATGTACGTGTTTCTTGTTTTTTAAATACCAAATACACGTGACTCTGAAATATAATTAATATTGCAGTAAATTGTTTCTTCTTATATTACTTATTCCACAAAAAGTTTTAACATCCCGTTTTTTCTATATTTACAAAAATCACATTTACTTGATCCGTTCGCGAAAGTATACATATGTCTATGAAAATATCTTCGAGTGAGTGTCATTACGATTTCTATGATGGTTATATATACTGGTCGAGCTTCATTGGGACCAGAAATTTGTTTAAATCTATAAGATACATTTTGATGTGAGAAACGTGTTCGAAGAATTGCAGTTAGTAGACTGATTATTTTTGAACCATTTTTTTTCCAGCACATCCATGGGTACGAGAAGGAGGTGAAGCGTCAGATATACCACTCGACATTTCTGTTCTATCTAATATGCGGCAATTCGTTAAATACAGCCGTTTTAAACAGTTTGCACTTCGGGTAATCATCGTCAATTTTTTTTAATTTTTTTTATTGGTCGAAACTTCTAGAATCCATCATCTATTGTTATATCATTTCAACATTATATTTTTAATCGATTTATTTCTATAGGCATTGGCTAGCACACTCGATGACGAAGAACTGGCTGATATTCGAGACCAGTTTGATGCAATTGACGTCGATAAAAACGGTTCCATTAGTCTCGAAGAAATGAGACAGGTTAATTTTTTGCCCTTTTGGTTTCTCAGATTATAATACTCTATTTATTTAATTTATGGGCAAATTACGGCCACCCTCTGAGGTATGGCCAAATTGCGAAAAAATCGCTCTTGTTTGGGTAATTACAGCCACCCCTCCTTTTAAATGTTTTTACATAAAATTTATGTAATTTGGTCATTTATCGAACCAAATCGTATATTCAGTTTGGTAAATGGTATGAAATGCTGGCGTACCGAAATTTCGGTTCGGTTTTACCGAATTAACATTCCTAAATTTACCTCTGGAGGGGTCTTTTGGTAGTCTTTTCGTAAGATAATACATAGTTGAAGGGGTGGCTGTAATTACCCAAACATACCCAAACAGGAAGGGGGTTTTCGTAATTTGACCATAACTCAGGGGTGGCCGTAATTTGCCCTTTAAGTTATTTGTATTATTCATGGACATTAATAATATTTTCTTTAAATACAGGCCCTGGAGAAGGATATTCCGTGGAAAATCAAAGACTCGCGCGTTCATGAAATTCTTCAAGCGGTAAGTAATGAAATTTCCACCGTTTTTTTTTTCTTGGCTTTCCTATTTAGTTTGGATTAATGACTAATTTTATCATGTAATTAATCGGAGCAGATAGATAGCAATACCGACGGACTTGTCGATTTCCCAGAGTTTGTTGCAGCTACACTTCACGTCCATCAATTGCAAGAACACAGTTCGGAAAAATGGCATCAAAGATCGCAGGCCGCTTTTGAAAAATTTGATTTCGATAAAGATGGATTTATTACGCCTGATGAACTCAAAATGGTTAGTTTTTTGTTCGGGATAATTATAAGTATACACTTAAATTTTTTTTTTTTTCGTTTTTATATTTATATTTTGTTTATTGGGGGTACTGCCAGCACACGTGTCTAAAGGGTTCGATAGAGCCGTTATTAGAGGAAGCAGATATCGACAAAGACGGGAAGATTAGCTTATCGGAATTCCGCAGACTTTTAAGAACTGCGAGTTTGAGTTCGAGAGGAGGTGTGGGTACCTAATTAAGGGAGTTGAAAAGGGGGAATCTTCATCTGCAAAAAGAATCTTTTTGTCCATACTTACAAAATGTAAATTGTAGACGTAATTATTATGATTATGTTTCCCGATTATTACTTGTGTAAACAAACACGTTGCCTCTTGTCTTGTTTGGGTTTGAGTTTGACGATGCATGTCGGATCATATGTGCTTTCTATCTTATTACATTTTCTTATGTGTGAGGTAATATTAATATATATAAGACAATAAGAGCTCTCTCTCTCTCTCTCTCTCTCTCTCTCTCTCTCTCTCCCCCTCTCTCTCTCTGTCTAATGTTGAAGTTAATTAATGTTGAGTCAGGTTATAGCTCCGACGACCCACCATCGGAAAAAAATTAAAAAAAAAAAAGAAAAGAAAAAGAAATGGATTGTCAAATATTGAAGTTAACTAATGTTGGAGCTCCGACGATCCACTGCCGGAAAAAAAAATTAATAATAATTTTTGTTTCTAGAAAAAAAAATGACCCGGTCAGATCGGATAAACTAGCTCAGACCGGCCTGGTGGACGGGTGGGATGGGAAGGGAAGGGGGATGAATTGGACTTATCTCAAATAGAATTATGTAGGGCTATTTTGGGAATTCATGTTTTTATAATTTATTTGAAGGGCACTTTACAAATAAGTCATCAATGGGTACTTATTCATAAAGAGATCCACACAATAAACTCTTTTACAAAAAAGTCCACACATGGTCCAAAGGTTTGTAAAAGACTAAAATAGCCCCTCATACTTTAATATGCTCCAATTTCATCATTTAATTTAATCTAACCTCAATTTGACCCCAAATTTCACAAATAATTCAATTTAGACCAAAAACACATTTTTATGGACAATTTCGTCCGTTACCGCCGTTGACCGCCGGTCTCCGACGTTGACTTTTTTTTTTCTTCCTGATTTTTTCGCCGATTTCCGGCGTTGACATTTTTTTTTTCTTCTTCCTGATTTTTCCGCCGATTTTCGGCGTTTAACCGGCGGTTAACGACTTCGATATTCTCATCATTGTTCTTCACCATTCTCATCATCGTCTCCACGGTCTGAGGGTTCAGAGTCACTTCGAATATTTGGCCCATGTGCATCTCCGAAAGGATCCTCGTCATCATTACTATCACAACGACGAGTTTCATTAGGAAGATCAAAATTTTCATGAGCATTTCTCATGCCACTTGATTCCCCAATATATACCCCAAGATTTTGATAAGAATGCCTCGATGGCCCCGCTTCAAAGCCTATACTAGAAAACCCTTGTGTAACCGCAACTAACTCAGGATTTGTTTGCATAAAGGAATTGTACGTCTCATTCAAATCAAAAGGTTGTGAAGGTCTCGAAGGGGAGTAGAGAGGTTCTGATGTAGTGAATTGTAAAGGTCTCGAAGGAGAGTAGAGATGCTCTGATGTAGTGAATTGTGAAGGCATCAAAGGATTGTATAAAAGTTGAGACTAAACATAAACATCATCACTTGTTATCTCAGAAACTATCTCGCTCCATTGATTTTGATACCATCGTGATATTTTTCCGGACACCGATAACACACATTCATTTCTATCTATTCGGCAACGTGAGTATATTTTGGCCAAGAAGTGTGAGAAAGATATATCGCTTTTAACTCGTACGACTGTATGATGAGATTGATCATAGTTCACTGACAATGAGTAAACTGCAAAAACTACCCCTGTGTAATCCCAAAATAGCAAAAACCCCCCTGTGATAAATAAACTAGCAAAAACCCCCCCTGTGAAATTATTTAAATAGCAAAAACCCCCCTATGGAACTATTTGAGGGTTGACTTGATATAAAAAGACACAAATACCCCTGGAGTCTTGCAATTAATAAATTCTTATATTTTATAAATATTTTAATTATTTTATTTAAAAAATAATCAATTTAGTTGTTTACTATTTTTTTTTAATTTCTAAACAAATAAATCAAAAAGAATAAATATACATATAATATGTATATATATAAATACATTTTGAGGGTCAATTTTGTCATTTCAAGTCTAAAAAATCAGCTAGGGGGGATTCTGCCTTTGACTAAATTTCACAGGGGGGTTTTTGCTAGTTTATTTATCACAGGGGGGTTTTTGCTATTTCGAGATAACACAGGGGTAGTTTTTGCAGTTTACTCCACTGACAATCCATCATGAACAATCTGGCCTCCTATGTACACGAAAACTTTGACAGTATTCCTACACGAAGTCGCCATTGAAACCCTATATTTTGATATTTTGAGATTATTATTTTTATTTCGAAATATTTAATATTTTCTAATTCTTTTTATAGCTGCAAACACTAATGTTAGATTATAAATCAGTTAAAACAAACAATTAATATTTAATATTTTCTAATTCTTTTTATAATTTGATAGTTCGAAAACTATTAATTTGTATATTATAATTCCTAAACAAATTGTGTAACTCGTAATTTTTCGACACATTCATATAACACTAACCAGTTAAAAAATAAACAATTTGTATAAATTAGCGAACTTATCATTCAAGTAAGACTTTAATTAACCAATAAAATATTTAATTTACCTCAAAGATAATTGAAGATTTGCAAGCACCAACATGTTAGAGTAGGTGACCAACAAGCCAACATGTGGATGTGGTCTTTCGTATTTATTATTGTAATAAACGAACCTTTATTCGTATTAATGATAAAACAACTCGGCATTCTATATCTTTGTCCCTTTGTCACAAGCATAGATATAGTCCTTACAGTTATTACAAGTACGAGTAAATGATCGTTAGAATCGTGAGATATTTACTTTAGTATTATAACTGTTAAACATGTTCCTAGTCGAAGGGTTACGCCACCAATGAGGATATCGGCCTTTCCCATTAAGAGACTAGCACTTAGTGTATGTGTACTGCATCTCATCAGTAAACGGTATTGTGATATCGACATGCATAAGTGGGTGCTCGTAAGTTGAGGAGTTCACTGAACTCCCTCACCCTAGAAATCTCTAAGTGGTTCCCAATAATCGAGTAGAGATATCTATGGTATAGTTGTACACCATTAGTCCTTATGACCTAAACATCACCGTGACTTCACTAGAGGACCAGCTGTATCGTGACCTGTCCCTGAGTTCCACCGAGGACCATCCCAAGGGCCAGTGTTCGTGCAGTCCGAAATCTAGTGGGAGGTATGTGCATTGTAGTCGGGGATTCGATCGCTAGAATAGTCTTGGATGTCATGTGTGTTCTGAAAGTTTGTAATCATTCTAAGTCTCTGGCCAGAGCTGACTAAGTGATGATTAGAGAATTCGATTCTCTAAGTCATGCACGTAACGATTACAACACTTAGAACGATCGCACCGTCATTGAACATATAAAGAGGTCTCGACGAACCAATGCCTCTAGTTCAATCGGGACATATGTATCGAAGGGACCGTACTGTACGTTAACTATATCTGAAGGTTCTTGCAGGCACTTCATTTGTATCTAGGGAATCATGACGCGTAGTTGCTAGACGCCAATCTTGATTCGTTGGGTGATTAAGGTGAAACGAGATTCATCTTAATCGTAACTCTAAGGGACGAGTTTTGACCACAAAGGGTTGTGGGCCCACGTCTAGCTTACACGTGAACCATCGAGGGTCACACTGCTCGTGCACATGAGATCTTTGAATAAACGGTCAGAGATAAAATGGTTTATCTTTGCATGATTGGAAGTCAATACGATTGGGTCCAACATTCGTAATTTGGAATTATGAATGAGAATAAGAAAAGGAAAAGAATAGGCAAACGTATTAGTGGACTTTCTAAATCGGGAAGTTTCCAAATTTAGAAAGTGCATTGAATTAGGGTTTCCACTTTTGGAAAGTTGGAAATCGAGAGTTGGCACTCGTAATGACGAGAACATTATAATGAGTCCGAAAATGTAATCGTTACAATTTTCCGATCATTGAATTGAGAGAGACGTACAAGTAAAAGAACTAACGAACTTAAGCTGTTGGGCCAGGTCCAACTTAAGCCCGTTAGGGTTTTATGCAAGGCACTACAAATACTTGATTTATATGTCTTGCACAACACACAAGACCTAACCCTAGCCTTAGCTGCCTCTCTCGATCGGCCACCCTCTCCCACGGCCACCACCGCCGTCGCCGCCGCCGTCTTGCCGGAATCGGCCATCCGTTGGCCGATCCCCTTCGGTATTCCTTTCCTTCTTTCTTTTCTTCCGTTATTTCTAACTATTACGTGTCTAGTGCCACGTGTTTAGTAGATCGAAGTATACGAGGTGAAATCCGAGAGGAGGAAGATCGAAGATCGAAGAATCGAGGAGCAGCACACGAGCCGAAGCCGCACGCATCCCCACGCGCCGCCGGAAGACCGCGCGTGAGTCACACGCGCCGCCGTGGCCCTTCTCGCCGCTGCTGCCGCTCAACCGCTGCTGCCCCAGATTGTACGGATTGGTTTCCGTAGCAATCCCGCTTTGCTTGGTGCGTCTACCTCACGCTTCAAGAGGTAAACCTTCGAATCAATTGTTGATGAATTCGATTATGTTTAAATTAAATTAGTATGTTCGTCCTTGTATGATTTTATGTGATTACATGAAATCGTTTTATATGATGCGAGCATGTTATTTGATTTAAATGCGAGCATGCTAATTGATTTAAATTCGGTTGAATAATTAAGCATGTATGTTGTTTTTAATTTCGCTGGAAGCGCAAAGGTACGCAATTAATTGCTTTATATTATCGGGCATGTGTTTATGTGTTTTAAAGTCGTTTAAATCGCTTAAAATTTTTGTTTTCCGCTGCGTACACGTGCCGGATTCCCAACACGACAATCACTTCTCAATCCACCACAAGTTAGACTTCCACCTAGTTATAATAACGAAAAAATCATCAAAATAAAAATTTCAGCAATTATTTAAAAAAGAGAAAAAAAAACCTGCTCCAACCCCAAGTTGTACTATATTTGTACAATATAACAAATAATTACCTTCAAATTATTATTATTTGCTAGCTACAAAAATCCCTTCTCAAACCACCACAAATTACACTTCCACCTAGTTATAACAATAAAAAAAAACAAAATTAAAATTTCAGCAATAAAAAACAATAAAATTTGTACAATATAACAAATAAATACCTCCAAATAATTATTATTTGCTAACGTAAATCCCTTCTCAATCAACCACAAATTACATTTCACCTAATTATAACAATCAAAACACAACTAGATTTAAATTTCAGCCATTATTTAAAAACAAGAAAAAAAAAAGATGAAAAAATGTTAAATTATTAAAACATGGGATCAAAAGTGAAACTGATGTAAACTTGAGGGGCAAAAGTCTAATTCTACCATTTTCATAAATTGAAAAGAAAAAAAATAAAAATTTTAAAGTCATTGATATTGGATTTTGACTAAATTTCCATAAATTCAAACAGTTTGCAATCATGAATTTGAAATCTAAACCCTAATCATGGTAAAAGAGACAATTTCTAGTCATAAATTAATGGTACTAAGAAAATGGCACACACCATTTACAGTGATTACTAGCACCAATAACATCAACAATTTCAACAGATAAAACCACAATAAAATTTGTCTCCTTAAAATTATAAAATATGGAAGAAGTAAACAAACTTATCTACGGTTCGAAAATTCTACAAAAACTCTGGTTGAGAAAGAGACAATAAACGAACAAAACCACATAATAGTTCATAAGGTAAGATTTGAACCTAAGTTCCAATGTTGGTAGCCTTGTTGAGGATAACACCTATTCTAATGCCATGACTAATTCTACCAATTTATCCACTAACTTACTAATAATTAATTAATTTATCCTACTAATTATTCTACTCGTATCATATTTAAACTATTAAAATAATTTAAATTTCAGAAATTGTTTACACACAATCAAACATTCCTTCTTAAATCCGCCATATGTTAAAGTTTAACCTAATAATAACAAGTAAAAACAACAATAAAAATTTGAATTTCATAATAAATTATATATATTTTAACAATACAAGGGATAATTTATCTCCAAATAATTGATAATTTACTATATAAAAAATTCCATTAATCCACCATTAATAAAAATTTAACAAAATAATATTAATAATTAAAATCCTATTTAACTATAATAATAATTGAAAGAATGAAAAAATTTACCTCAACAAGTACCCTGCTGAAATTAATTAAAATTACTTACACTAATTAAAATATAAGTTAGCAAAATACAAATTAAATAATAATAATTAACAAAAAAAAAAACTCACGGTTGGGAAGAAGGGAGCAAATGGAGCAAATGTGAGGTGAATTCCAATTGTTTAAGGAATGAAAAAAAAAAGATATATATATATATATATATATATATATATATATATCATCATATATCTATATATCTCTCTCTCTATCTCTCTCTCTCTCTCTATATCTATGTCTATCTCTCTCTCTCTCTCTCTCTCTCTCTCTCTGTGTGTGTGTATGTATATAATAATGTATGTATATATATGTATATATATATATATATATATATATATATA